AAAAGGAAAATATTAACATTCTAATTTCAAACTTACTACAAGAGAAAAATCAACACTACTTACAATATCTGACTTGGTACACTTGGCACCGTGAGAAAGTGCAGATATGTATAAAGCCGCACCACATAGGCCACTGGGCTTTCTTCCTGTCTGCAAGAATCTTTTGAATTCAAAATCAACTTCAAAAAGAACTAACATGAAGTCGATAGAAAATACGGTAGTTCCCATACCAGACCTGCATCCAATCACGCTTCATGCTGGTTATAATCTTCAATGCAGTTCTGGAGACCTCCTTTTTCATTCCATCGTCCTTCATTCCTCCAAGCAAGCCTAGGAACAATATTGTTCATCAGACAATAATATTCAAAATGTTAAACCTACAAAGCACTAACACAGGACTTGAATATGCATAGCATGACAACATGTTAATTTCTGGGGGAAAAATGTAGGACACCAACACATTGGGCACACGTGATTTTTTTTTATGATTATCTTTTGATATGCTTTCTAAAAGCATGGTCACTTCGGCCATCACTTGTAAATTTTCTCCTCTATCACATCATTACAGTTTTTCATCTCTTTTGTCCAATTGAACAGGTTTTGTGTAACTCCCTTGGATTGGGTCTTCCCCTTTGTAATTTCATACCATTAATGCAAAATGTTCTATATCCAGAGATGTCCAGTAACGCTTATCGAGTCCAAAATTGGAAGAATTGAAATCAAATTGTGTTTAATCTATACATACAATCCAATCCGAGGGAGGTACTGAAAGAACTGGTCCACACATGCAAGGTAGCTGATTCTCTCGCTATTTACTCAATTCTAACCTCGTTTTTTTCAATTGTGATTATTTCCTAGTATAGGTTTACAATTGCTCATTTCCTTCATACATTCAATAGCTTCTTCTATTTATTAGGTTTCATGCTTCTTTTTTAATGTACTTCTTCATGAACAGCACAAGAAAAGTCAGTTTTACTTGTAATCAACTTTTCTCAATGAAAATTCAGTTCATCAAAAAAAAAAAAAAAAAAACTTGCAACTCAAGTGATATGAAATACTTACATTGAGTATATTTATCAATAAAAAGGGAAGGATCAACCAGCTTTTGAACAATAGGGTGCTCTTCAAGTCTAAGCACTTTACAAAGTTGCAAAAATACAGCACCCAACACATAGCTGCAAACAACCTCAGAGGCATAAAAATACTAATATATAAAACTTAAAGATTCACAAATCAAAAGGTTAAAGTGAAGGAAAAGAAACCCTTACACATTTATCCTCAAATAATTTGAAAAGTCAATTAGAAGATATGGCTTATTCTTTTCCCTACAAAACAAAGTACGAGTTTAATATTAGTGCATCATACATTATTCAACAAATTTTTGGTCCACGTCCAATATACATGCAAATGTGCAGGCACATCTACAGGGAGAGTTAAGAAACGGTGAGGGTTCATGAACATGGGAAAGGTCACCATAGAATTACTCCAAGATGTTTTCCCAAACACAGCATCATGAAGCCCATAACTACGGGGGGGGGGGGGGGAACTTTTTGTGGAAACCAATCAAACAAATCATAGTAGTTCAAATGGTCCCAAATGAGACTATATCGTACATAAGGATAGCCTTTTCATTTCCTGAAAAGCTTCTAGGGGAGGTCATAAGAAATTAGTTTCTAAGAAATCACTTGAATGGCCTTGTGCTACCAAATCTAAATCATCACTCAATGCAACAACAAAAGAAAATATACAATCAGTTTGAATAATTGTAATTCAGGGAAGGGGAAATCTCCTACCGACAAGCAATGTAAAGGCAAGCAGCCTGCACAAACTCCGTATTGCGTCCCCTCGTAAAATTTCTCTCTAAAGCAATCTTCAGTGCAATTTAAAGATGATGAAATATCAATGAAATCAAAATGTATACATATAAACATCCCACACATAGGGCTCAAACATAGAAACTTACTCTATAAAATGCCCCAGCTACACGAATTATTTCATCACTCTCGCCCATATTTAAACCATTCCTCATGTATCTCATATCTTCAAAAGCTGATATATGATAAAATTGTTAAAAATATACTTGCCTAATTTTGAACAAACTTTGTAGTTTATAGTGTTTAAGAAAACAAGTATAACACAAGTTTGTCATAAAAAGAGAGTAAATCATAAAGCAAACCTCTATTCAGTGTCCTTTCCCGTGAAGCAGAAAAATTACTCTGAATAGATCTAACAAAATTTCCTGACAATTGACTCTGCAAGTTCATTCAAACATCAAATAGGAATATTTCAGCAATGCCACAATGTCCTAACAAGAGGGGAGGGTTGACAATTTAGAAGCATAATAACAATACAATATTATATATTACAACATTACCAGTTAAACAAAAACGAAGTAGGAAAGATGAAGACGGAAGGGGGACTTTAGCGAAACAACTAGAATTTAAGTACCTGCCCTCCAGAATCCTTCGTAAAAGTGGGATCTTGAGAGAAATTGTAAAAATCCAATACCTTCCCACACATATCACAATATCTATCAAACAGATATACAAAAACCAAGAAAGAAAAATCAGAAAGCTAGGAATGTATAGTGAATCATAAGCCCAAGCAACAGAGAGAACCAATCTTTTCAAGTTTTCAAATTGTCGTAGATTATATTTTAAAACTAAATACTGACAGGAAACCAGCTTCATCTCGAGACCCAGCAACACTTTTTACGCAATTACTGCACCACACCATGTTTGTGGTGTGTCACTGAACAATGGTCTGCAAATTCAAAACGCCTCAGTACAAACACCAAAACAATTAGGAAAATAACAAAGAAAATATGAAGTTCCTTTAAATCGAATTAGAAAGTAAAAAAAAAAAGTACGCAATTAGTTTTGAACAGCATACGGAAATGAAAATCGAACTTGGGACGTGAGTTCAAACAGGAAATTCCAGTAAAAATTAAAATTGGCATAGGAACACAAGCTGAAATTTTACATAGAAATGGGAAAAGTATGTCGTAACTGATGAGTCAACAAAAAGTAGAAAGAAAAAGCTGATTCAACTTGGTTGAATCAAAGAAACAAAACAGAAGAAAGAAAAGAAAAGATATTCGATCGGAGCAGACCTCGACGGCGAGCGAGGGAGGGCAGAAGACGGAGGATGGGCGTGGCAGCGGCGGAGGTTGCAGCAGAAAGGAAGATAGGAAGAGATGAAAGAAATCAGAGTGGCGTGCCGGTGGCGGTGGGATTCAGCTTGTTTTCTTTTTTTTTTTCTTTTTTTTTTTTTCTTTTTTTGTAAAAGAGATAAAAAATAATAATAAATAATAAATAAAACCAAATTATAAAATTTCTTTTATAAATGTTAAATTTATACTCCATATGCGAGATAGGCTTAAAAAAAAAAAGAAGCTAGATGGAATATTATTAGGGTATGATTATTGAGGTGGAGGAATCCATAGGAGGCTCACATATTCAGTTATACGAGCATTGTCCCACTGATTTTTTTCGATCAACGAACAAGGAGCGAAGTAGCTTTACCACATTGGTGAGGGACAAACCATATGCAGCGAAACGTGCACATGTGCTTCTGGCCTTCTTTGTTGAAAACAGCTCTTTCACTATGTCTTCGTCTTCTCTCCTGTGGCTACCTCGTACGACTTTAACTTAGTTGAAGACCTCGTTCATGCCTTTCAGGATTAGTCGCGGTGTTACAAACTCTCTTGATGGAATATAATAATATCTGAGCTCCTGCTTTGCTTGCGCTAAAAAATGAACGTTGTAAACTCTTTGATGACATACTCCTTTATAAGAAAAAAGACGTGATAAGGCAACTCTAATCCTCAACGATCCAAGCTTTTGTTGAAGCAAGAACCCTTAATCAGAGTAATTAACTCCTCCTTATACAAAATTCGGATCAACTAATAGATAAGACTAGAATTAGATTATCTCTTACTCCTTATACAAAATTCGGATCAACCAAGAGATAAGGCTAGAATTAGATTATCTCTCAGGATCGAAGATCTAGAATTAACCAAGAGATAGAGCTAGAATTAAATTATCTCGATCGAAGATCTAGAAGCAAAATTTGGAAACCTTGTTCTAAATTGAGTCACTTCACAATCAAGAAGTAGATTATCTCTTACGATCATAGATCTAGGAGTAAAATACAAAATTTGAAAACCTTGTTCTAAATTGAGTCACTTCACAATCAAGAATTAGATTATATCTTACGATTAGAGATCTAGGAGTAAAATAGGATCGAAAATCTAGAAGCAAAATTTGGAAACCTTGTTCTAAATTGAGTCACTCCACAATCAAGAATTAGATTATCTCTTACGATTAGAGATCTAGGAGTAAAATTTGGACACCTTGTTCTAGCAAAATTTGCAACCTTGTTCTTAATTGATTCGCTTCACAATCATTATCTCTTACGATCAGAGATCTAGGAGTAAAATTTGGACACTTTGTTCTAGCAAAAATTGCAACCTTGTTCTTAATTGATTCGCTTCACAATCATTCCTTGTTCTTAATTGATTCGCTTCACAATCATTCCTTGTTCTTAATTGATTCGCTTCACAATCATTATCTCTTACGATCAGAGATTTAGGAGTAAAATTTGGACACCTTATTCTAGCAAAATTTGCAACCTTGTTCTTAGTTGATTCGCTTCACAATCAAACTTGATCAAACGCTTGACTGAATGGCTCGAGTGCAATTCTATCATTGCAACTTAGAAATGACAAATATGATACTCGAATGTCTAAGGAAAACGTCTCAATTTAAGATCTAAATTACATTTTCATCAACGAATTTGATTTTTACGTAAGATATTGTGGATATTTATAGTCTCCTGTGGATTTATTCTCGATTCTCTTTGATCTCCACACATGACCATTTGACCCTTACATATTTTTTAATTTAAAAATAATACCTTCAAACTTGATGGCTTAGATGACAAGTTTGAAATTAATTGAGTTCTCTCCGCTCCAAGTAGGTTCGAATTCTGTTGTTGACACTTCTTAGAGATTTTATAAAACAAAAATGAGGAGAGAATCGTCTCATTCTCGGTTCAGCTAATGTGAAAAATTCCCACTCTACCCCCATGACAAAAGCAAATATGCATTTCACCACTTAACCAAGAATATAGATACATTTTATAAAGCTTAGGCACTCCACAGAGCCTTCTGTTCCTCAAAGCTTCCAATAACAGCGGTTTGGTTTTGATCAGCCAATGCATTTGCAAGATGTTCATAAAATGCAAGTGCTTCGACACTCTCCAAAACCCTCACCCACTTCCCTTCCTTCTCATCTATAATTGTCTGCCCTACTTTTGATTCACCTCCCTCTGTGATTACTTTTACAGCCTTCAATCTGAATGCTTCCTTCAGATTCCGATGCCTTCCACCTAAGCTCACTGCCCCAACCACTTCTCCTAAGAACATGTCCTGCACAAAAGTTCACGACTTTAAGGACTTTAAGGACCGTTTGATAATGATTTTGTTTTTTTAGAATAATGTTTGGTTACAATCTAGGTTCCATTTTATAATCCACCCCACTTCATGGCCCAGCGTCCTCGCTGGCACTCATTATGCTTTGTTCCCCTCTCCAACTGATGTGGGATCTCACAATCCACCTTCCTTCGGGCCCCAGCATCCTCGCTGGCACTCGTTATGTTTCGTTCCCTCTCCAACCGATGTGGGATCTCTCAATCCACCCCCTTCGAGGCTCAGCCTCCTCGTTGGCACATTATCCAGTGTCTGGCTCTGATACCATTTGTAACAGCCCATGCCCACCACTAGCAGATATTGTCCTCTTTGGGCTTTCCCTTTCGGAGGGACTTTCCCTCAAGGTTTTTAAAACGCGTTTGCTAGGGAGAGGTTTCCACACTCTTATAAAGAATGTTTCGTTCACCTCTCTAACTGAAATGGGATCTCACAAGAGAAGTGACGAGAAAACAAATACAATTTTAAAATACTAAATAGGATCAAACGAGCCCAAAATGCTATCAAACTTACTTTGACTTTGATCTAAAATGATAGTAATTTTCAACTAGGATGGAAATTCAATGTCTAAAGAGCCTAGAATGCAGATGGATTATAAATTCATGTTCAGCATGAAAAATCTCTATGATGACCAAAAGCCAGCGAAGATGAAGAAACTTAAGGAACAAAAGCAGATTCTATATAGAATAATCCAAGTTAAGGTAACTTTACCACATGATGGTACTGGTTATACTTCTGCTGAAGGCGATACAGCCTGAAGAGTAGACGTCGAGCGAACCGTGCTTCATGAGTTCTGTTTCCATGCTTCAACTTTTCGAGGATCTTAGAGAAAGAACTTACATTTCGTTGCGTGTTCAATGGGATAAGTGTAATGTTCAATCCCGAGCCTAAAACCAATTCTGCAGCCGTCGGGTCGAGAAAAAAGTTGAATTCTGCATATTCATTTGAAGGTATAGTGAACACATTTCCCTCGTCTCTAGAACTTATATGTCCTCCAGTAATGTATACCTCCTGCAACAACAAATAATTGAAACAATATTTCAGGAATGACATTTAGAAGGGAACAAGGAGAATTAGAAGAGTATATTGGTAAATAGTAGGGTGGTATTTGGTTATAAATAGAGGGAGTGAGGAAGAAAGAAAGCATAGATTTAGTGCTTTGGTGAATGGCTTGAATGATCTCAAGAGTTAGGAAGGGTTCAAGCACCTCGAATTAATAGGGTTCTCTTATCTTATAAGAGCTCAAGCTCACCATTAGCAAATATTATCCGCTTTAGCCCATTACATATCGTTGTCAGCCTCACGGTTTTAGAACGCGTCTACTAGAGAAAAGTTTCCACACCCTTATAAGGAAGGTTCCGTTCCCCTCTTCAATTGATGTGGGATTTCACAATCCACCCCCTTGGAGACCCAGTGTCCTTGCTAGCACATTGCTCGATGCTTGGCTATGATACCATTTGTACAGCCCAAGCCCGCCACTAGCAGATATTGTTCGTTTTGGCCCCTTACGTATCACTATCAGCCTCACAGTTTTAAAACGCGTCTACTAGGGAGAGGTTTCCACACCCTTATAAAGAATGCTTCGTTCCACTCTCAACTGGTACTCCATTGGTGTTGGATGCTGAAATGCAATGATCTTAATGCTAAAGGATCAAAAATATTGTTTTCATTATGCAGTTAATCTTCTTTCACCACATCATAAATCCTTGATGATAAGTAATATGCCTATACAATAAATGAAAGGTTACGGTTGTTTACCTGAATCCTTGAGCTTATGGCTCTAGAACGTATAATTTGAGCGAGATTCGTCAAAGGTCCATTCGTTAAAACGGTAATTTTCACCCCCGGATCTAGAGATTGTACAACATCTGTCCAAACATCAACTGCAGACATTTGTCTGAGACCAGGGTGATCAGTGTCTCTAAATGCTCCAATCTTTACTGAATTTTCAGCTGTATATCTGAAGGAAAAAAAAAACATGAAAGCTTGGTTTTGTCCATAATTTGATCTCTAGTGCAATGTAATGTTACATGTGTTTGAAGACAGGACTAAGTAATATCATTCATTAAGATCTCAACAGCAAATGATTTTCCAGATAAAATCATCATATTTAAATTTCATTTAAATCAAAACTATTCCCAATGGTCGACCGAACGTAATTTTGTTTCCTAGTCATCGCATCGACCCCCATTCCACTCATCCATAGATGAACCTGCACTCCCTGCTATAAGCTCGGAGTAACACCAAAATTTTCTTTTCATTAATATTTTGATTCAATTGAACCAAGGATTTTTGGAGTATTTACCTGTGAGATCTCATATTGGTTGGGGAGGAGAACGAAGTATTCCTTATAAAGGAGTGGAAACTTCTTCCTAGCAAACACATTTGAAAAACCTGGAGGGAAAACCCGAAAGGGAAAACCCAAAGAAGACAATATCTACTAGTAGTGGGCTTGGGCTGTTACAAATGATATCAGAGCTAGACACTAGGCAATATGCTAGCGAGGAGGCTGAGCCCCGAAGGGGGTAGACATGAGGCAGTGTGCTAGCAAGAACGCCAGGCACCAAAGGGGGTGGATTGGGGGTCCCACATCGATTGGAGAAGGGAACGAGTGCCAGCGAGGAGAACGAAACATTCTTTATAAGAGTGTGGAAACCTCTACCTAAAAGATGTATTTTAAAAACCTTGAGGGGAAGCCCAAAAGGGAAAGCCCACCACATGAAGTCCTCGACATGTAGGATTGTAAGATGTTCAAGCTATTTTGTCAAATAAAATTTATGGTAAGTTAGGACGATTTTAAGTGAAGCATTGTTCCTATAAAATCAATTTAAAATGATCTAAAATGTTTATAGTGTTTTTAGAATCACTTTCTATTTAACCAAACACCATGAAATCTTTGAAAAGTGCTCTTTAACTAGCATTACTCTCCTAAAAGCCTGGCCAAACTCATACTTCCACACCCAGTTCTTCCAATACCAAATCATGAGGAGATCTTATATGAAGATAAATGCATTCGAAAAAAAGATACCTTCTAGGACTACGAGGCAAGTCTCGAGCGAATCCATAAAGTGTATCGGAGTCCAAGAACCCACCGCTACCATGAGGAATGGCATTGATATACTTGCAGTCTCCAATAGAAGGGAATGATGGATGTGCTTCTCCAATGGCAAATACATCGCCGAGACCAACTGAAATGTCGTCACGACCCATCATATGTAATACATCATATACGATGTCTATTGTTGCAGCCGTGGCCCATCCATTTGGGCTAATTATTATTCCCTGTAAAATGATATGTTAGTCTTACAAAAGAAAGAGAAACTTTCATGCCTTAGCTTCATATCAAGTAGGAAGTAATAGCCCCTCCTGAAAAAGATTTGAAGTTCTCCTTGAACGGGCATTCAAGCACACAATTCTTGGTTTTTGTAATAAACTTGACTTCAACACTTTTACTAGACTTGATTGATTTTAGAAGTTCATCAACAAAATCTATATTGAGTTTAAGATTACCGCTAGCAGATATTGTTCTCTTTGGACTTTCCTTTCTAGAATTCTCATCAAGATTTTTAAAACATGTAGGCTAGGGAGAGGTTTTCACACTCTTATAAAGAATGTTTCGTTCCCCTCCTCAACCGATGGGATCTAATAATCCATCTCCTTTCAGGTCCAGTGTCCTTACTGGCATTTGTTCCCTTCTGCAATCAATGTGGGACCCCCAATCCACCCACCTTTGGGTTCGGGGTTTAGCGTCCTTGCTGTCATACCACCTCGTATCCACCTCATTCGGGGTACAGTCTCCTTGCTGGCACACCGCCCGGTTCTAGCTCTAATACCATTTGTAACGGCCCAAGACCACGGCTAGCAGATATTGCTCTCTTTGGCAAAAGCCCTTCCAGGATTCCCCTCGAGGTTTTCAAAACGCGTCTGCTAGGGAGAGGTTTCCACATCCTTATAAAGAATGCTTCGTTCTCCTCCCCAATCGATGTGGGATCTCAGAATCCACCCCCCTTCGGGCCCAACTTCCTCGCTGGTACTTGTTCCCTTTTGTGATGGACGTGGGCCCCCAATCCACCCCCTTCAAGGCCCAGCGTCCTTGTTGGCACACGGCTTCGAATCCACCCCCTTAAGGGAGCAACTTCCTAGCTGGCACATCGCCCGATGTCTAGCTCTAATACCATTTGTAGTGACCCAAAACCACCGCTAACAGATATTGTTCTCTTTAGGCTTTCCCTTCCAGGATTCACCTTAAGGCTGTTAAAAGCGTTTGCTAGGGAGAGGTTTCCACACCCTTATAAAGAATACTCCGTTCTCCTCCCCAACCGATGTGGGATCTCACAAAAGCCACAGTAATAGATTTTAGGAAACTAAACGCAAAATAACACCATACCTTTAGATCGATGATTTCAACTGGTGTCTTCAAGAGATAGAGAAGAGTAAGAAAATCTCCTGTGCTCATATCCATGTCAAAAATAACTGGCTTTCCTAGCAAATTCTTTCCAATTTTTGGTCTATATAGTACTTCCTTATACTTAGGAAACTGAGCTCTAAAATCAAACCTCCCTGATTGGCGAGGACTATTTAGAGCCTGCATTTTATACAAAGTAAAGCCTTCATTGAAAAAATAAATGAGGTAGAAAACGTAACAACGACAAAAAGCTGCCATATTACTCTTACATCCAGGAAGCTTAAATAAAACGCTTTATCAATTATGGTGTTGGTGTTGAGAGATGACTTAGCCGACACAGCAACCAGAACTTCAACAGATTCAGAGCCCTCTGCCTCCTTTGTATAGCCATCCTATGACCATCATATGGAACTCTTTAAACTTCTACTAAAGTTTTAGAATCGTTTACAAGAAACTTCATCAGCAACAAAAACATACAGCCATTAGACTTCATCAACTTTTCAACCAGCTAGCCGTCTATATCAATAAACATGTGAATAATCTCTTGGACATACCTTACACTTGCCCTTCTCAAATGAAACAAGGCAGAATGGATCTAGCATTCCTGTCTGAACATGGCCACTGTGCACCCCATTCTTCTGGACGCCAAATTTTGGGATTAAACGACCATCAACGAGTGGATTTGAACCATCGGAGATCCCATACGGTTCATTTGATGTAACAATAGTGATATTTAAATATTCCATCTTTGAATATGCATTATTTCCACCCCCTCTGTCCAGATTAAGCATTTGGGCCAAAGCTACACCAACCATAAAAGAATCCCACATCGAATACATCTGTGAAAATGCCAAGTCACTACAATGAACATGTAAAATGGCATCTTTCTTAATGAAAGATAATTGAATCAGTTATGGAAGATTACTTCAAAAAATCCACCGCCGGACCAAGTATCATGAGCCATTTTCAAGGACTGGAAACAATATTTAGCCTCATATGTGTTTTGTCTCTGTTCAAATGCCAAATATACTTTCTTATCCACAGGAATTGTACTTGTTGCGTCTAGAGGAACAAGAGTAACAGGAATTCCAGAATGTAGCACCTGTTTCTCGAAGAAGCAACACTAATATTAGATGCAGATTCCAAAATTACACAAAAGAAAATATGGATATGTTTGGGAGCTTTTAATCATGCTAAATGTGCTTTTCCCTGGCCCAAAGCATTTTCTCACTAGAAATTTCATATTTGGAAGTAATATAAATGTAACCGTCCAAACCCACTATTAGCGGATGTTGTCCGCTTTGGCCCGTTACGTATTGTCATTAGCCTCATGGTTTTAAAAAGTGTCTGCTAAGAAGAAGTTTCCACACCCTGATAATGAATGTTTCATTCCCCTCTCCAACTGATGTGGGGTCTCACAATCCACCCCCCTTAGGGGCCCACCGTCCTCGCTGGCACACCGCCTGGTGTTTGTCTCCATTACCATTTGTAACAGCTCAAGCCCACCACTAGCAGATATTGTCCGTTTTGACCCGTTACGTATCGCCTTCAGCCTCACGGCTACTATGAAGAGAATCTAACCCTACTCCGACCAGTGTCTTACGCCGTCCAATGATTGCCTCTAATACCATTTGTAACAGCCCAAGCCCACCGCTAGCAGATATTGTCCGCTTTGACCTTTTACGTATCGTCATCCGCCTTACGGATTTAAAACGCGTCTGCTAGGGAGAGGTTTCCACACCCTTATAAAGAATACTTCATTCCCTTCTCTAACCGATGTGGGATCTCACAATAAAAGTATATTATAAATAAAATAGTCAACAGCACCTTAAACTACAAGCAGTAATAGAGTATTTTTAGCTCAAGTGATGGATAGCAAAGCACTTAAAAATATTATAAAAACACTCCCAAACACACCAAAACTCCACTAGCAGAAGGATACATGAAAAAGAAGAAAGAAAAACAAAGAGAGAAGGTTTCATATCAGAGGTTCATAACTTTTCAAAATTTCTAATGCAAATGATTTAGAACATTTGACGCATATTATTCATCATAGATTAGAAAGTTAATAATCAACTTATAACAACAGTACGTAGAAATTACCGTATAGGCAGCAAAAGGGTCTCCAAATATATTGAACTCAGCATATGGATTTTCATTTGGAGGCCACAAGTTCCCAATATTGTTGCATGTCTTCCCATGAGATTTATCAGCATTAGGCGAGCAAGTTTGTCTAATAGCACCCCCCATGGCATATATATGCTTTATATTTTTCTTCAAATGAGGATTTGTCATAAGAAATATAGCCAAGTTTGTATGAGCTCCCATTACAAAAACTGTAGTAGGCCCTGCAGAGATTGCATCTTTCATCACTTGCTGTGCAGTTGGTTGTTTCATAGGAATATATCTCCTCTTACCCTGTCAATGATCAACATATTAAAAGAAACGACCAAGTCCATCCAAATTACTATTTTACTATTTTAGGCTTATTTTCAATTTCCTACAAACTTCAAGACATTGCTCCTCTTGGTTTTGTCCAAAGTGATGCACGTATGTTTATTGAAGATTTACCATAACTATAGAGACCAATAATGTAATAGCCCAAGCCCATCACTAGTAGATATTATCCGCTTTGACCCGTTAAGTATCACTGTCAGCCTCACGGTTTTTAAAACGCGCCTATTAGGGAGAGGTTTCCACACCCTTATAAGAAATGTTTCATTCCCCTCTTCAACCAATGTAGGATCTCACAATCCACCCTCTTTGGGGGCTAGCATCCTCGCTGGCACACCGCCCGATAATTGGCTCTATACCACTTGTAACAGCCAAAGCCCACCATGTTAGGAATAACGACTCTCCACAATAGTACGTTATTGTCCACTTTGAGCATAAGCTCTCGTGGTTTTTATTTCGGCTTCCCCAAAAAGCCTTATACCAATGGAGATGTATTCCTTACTTATAAACTCATGATCAATCCCGTGATTAGCCGATGTGGGACTCCTCTTCCAATAATCCACAACACACCCCTAGCAGATATTGTTCCCTTGAAGTAATCTCCAATATTTAAAATTCATGGAAAAAACAACACTAAGTCCAGGCTGAAAGATGAACTCCAAGTACTTTCGAAGTGGAAAATAGGGTAAAATAGGTGAAAATTCCAATTGAAATGAGCAGATGCTGCCATTGCGACAATATATTGAATTGAAAAAGAAGAAAGAAAAAGAGGCAATACCTGAGGAAGAAAGGCTCTGCGTAAACCAAAATTGGTATCGGCATAGAGGCGTCCTTTCTCTCCCACTGGAATCGCTTGTCTGTATCTACATTGCCCTGCCGTCGACATGCCCTGTTCAACCACGACGCCATTTCAGTTTCAGTGCTCTTCAACAAAACCTTTATTCAAACTTGATTTAACCTTATAATCCTAAATCATACGCAATTGGGAGATTGGAAATTAATTAAATTAAATAAATTTGTGAATTTTGGGGGAAAAAAAATAAAAAAAAATAGAGGGGCATGGAATTACCTGATCAATAAGTGGCAGGTAGCCACCGACATGGGCGGAAATAGTACCGTTAGGGGAAATGCCGCCCTCTCCGCCGACACCAATTGGGATGTCGTCTCGCCCCATCATGAACAACAGGTCGTATAGGTGGTTCACTGCATGTCCACCGTTGCTCCATCCATTCCCATTTATTGTTATTGCCTATTAAAAAAAAAAAAAATTCACCGTCCATTATTATTTAAAAAATTGCTTTATTTTGTTTTTTTCTTTTTTTTGTTAAATTTTCAATCACTTAATCATTTCTCCTTCTAGCTCCTTCTACAAGCATAGGCATATAATGCTTTATCTAATATTAAAATAATACTTTAGATTATAAAATTTACACACAAAAAAAAAAAAAAAAAAAAAAAAAAAAAAAAAAAAAAAAAAAAAAAAAAAAAAAAAAAAAAAAAAAAAAAAAAAAAAAAAAAAAAAAAAAAAAAAAAAAAAAAAAAAAAAAAAAAAAAAAAAAAAAAAAAAAAAAAAAAAAAAAAAAAAAAAAAAAAAAAAAAAAAAAAAAAAAAAAAAAAAAAAAAACCATATTCCAAGCCTCTTTAAAGGAAAACTAAAAATTAATTAGGGTTTTTGTTTGAATCTAACCTATAATAATTACATGCATACCCTTACTAATATTTTTATGTGTCTCCAAAAAACGAAAAATCTTTTGGATCAATTTGTAATTTCGGGTTGGTTGAGTTGGTGACTCGAGCCAGTCAAATAGAGATTTTTTAAAATTGTTTAAGAAAATGCTATTTCTAATTAATGCTTTGTTCTCCTCCTCAATCAATGTGGGACATCACAACATATTGCATCAATAACTAAAATATTATAAAACTCAAATATCACACCTTTATAAGTCATAATGCTTCACTAACATCGATTACAAAAGTTAAATATTCTTAATCTTCATAATAATCTTAAAAGTAGAGTAGGGTTAGGTTGAGTTATAACCCCTATATTCGGATTAGTTGGGTTGACCCAACAAAAAAATATCAATCTGTGAATTGACCTGAATTTTCGATTTTCTAAAAATTCAATACAGCCCAAACCAAAAAAAAATGCACTCAACCCAACTTTTATAATTTTGATTGGATAGCTTGATTTGGTTAGGTTCTCGAATCATATAAATCTAGAATTTGTAATACTATGGTTATATATGTTTTAAAAATATTATATTCTAAATTAAAATCATTAAGGGGTTTCAAGATAAGATGGATCATAAATGGAAAGAAAAGGAGAGAAAGTATTATGACAAAAGAAAAAATAATTAGGGTTTTAGGCCCATCTACACAAAAATTAATAAAAGACAAGCGTGTAACCTTTCGTGTTAATATCATTAAAAAAAAATATTAAACCCGTCTCGTTCTAAGAGTTATAAGTTCAAATAAATTACCTGGAGATGAAAGAGGGAAGAAGGTTGCTTGAGAAGATACAAAAGAGCAGTAACATCATCGGTATCAACATCTGTATCCACGAGAATCCTTAGAGGAGAATCGAAAGAACTTGTCAACCAAAGGAGTGATCCGAACATGGCAGCCATAGCCACCACTCCACAAATCAAGCCACTCTTCCAAAACCTTCCTCCTCTGGATACTCCATTCATCATCACCATCTCATAATAATAATCTCTCCAACCACGAACCAGCTCAAACCTTAAATTCATCACTTCTTCACTGATAAAACACGAACAAAATAACAAGAATTACATCAAATGTTGATATATCTGTGTGTATATTTTTTATCAGAAAAAACATTGATATGTTCGGGACATGTTTTGCAAACCTTGAATGAAATGTTGATGATGGATTCCTTGACAATTCCCTCCTCCTCAAACAAACCCTAATTCTCACTCTCTTTGACTTTGTAAAAATAAATCTCCACTCACTTGGTGGGGTTTGAGAGGGAGATCGTTATCCCTTTATTTAATTTAATTAGTGATATGGCTATTTATAGTAGTGCTTCAAATAAGTGGACACAGAGTTATATCACTATAAAATACAAATGGTATGATGTTATTATTTATTGCATGCATACTTTAATGTATATTCTTTAACTTTATTTCTTATTTGTTGACTAATCGAATAGGTTTTCACACCTTATTAGAAATGTCAGTTCGGTATGTGGTTCTTATACCATTTGTAACAATCCAAGTCCACCACTATTAGCTTCATGTAAATATCAACACACAGCTCAATGCGTGTATCAACCCAAACCCACCATTAGGAGATATTGTCCTTTACGGACTTTTTCTTTCTAGCTTTCTCTCAACGTTTTAAAATGTGTCTACTAGGAAGAGAGGGAGGATTTCACACCATAATAAGAAATCGTTTGCTCATCTCTCCAACCAATGTTTAGGTACATATTTTTTTAATAAAAAAAAATATATTTTCAACTTGAATTTATATTAATAACTTTAAATTTGTATTTAAGATGTATAACGCATTGATCAATCATTGTTGGAGGTGGTCGTCAAAGTTGCACAGGAGTTGGTGACTGGAGTTATCGTTGGATTAGTGTTGCTCGATGTAGTGGCAGTGGTCACCAACGAGAAGGGTAGTGCGAGGTATTTTGGTCATTTTTATAAACAATGAAAATTAGGAGGGTATTTTGGTCCTATTTAGTTAAAAATTTAAATTTTCTATATTGGTGAAAATCATAATAAAAAATAAAAATTATTTATTATGGCATGTTTTCATAAAAGGTAGAAGGAGAAAATTCTAGTACAAAGTCTAATTTTATGAAATTAAAACTTTATGATAAAAATGGATAAAATGATTTTTTTTATAATTTAAATATTTTAAAAAATAAATTGTAAGAATAGTTTTTTATTTTATTTTATTTTATTATATATATAGTTCTATTTAATCCAAAATAAATTGAAATTTCCGGGATGCATTTAAAAAAGAAAAATGGAATGTTTTGTAGGGATGTTCATATGGCTCGAGTACCCAACAATTCAAAGCATAGGTTGGATTGATTTAAATTCAGGTCAGTTTGCGGGTTGACATTTTGTTATTGGGTCAAGCCAACCAACTCTACTAACTCGAAAATAGGGTTCTACTCTACTTTTAAGATTACTATGAAGATTAAGAATATTTAATATTAATCGAGGTTAGTGATGTGTTGCATAATACCTAATTTACGAACAACTTTGTAAATGTGCCAAATGTATTATACTCATAGTTAAGGAACATTATATTATATATTAGGTTTAAATAGAGAAGTTCATGATTAGTCCATTTAAAGGATTTTAATTTAAGCAACATTCATGGGTAAATTTAGAAAAATAGCCCTAAAAGGGTATTTTAAAAAAACAAGGGTAAATGTGAAAATTTAACCCACATGAGCTTCAAATTTGTAAAGGGAGCTTCAAAGTTGTAAATTCGGAAAATTAGCTCTAAAAGGATATTTTTGAAAAGATAATCCTAAAGTGAATCAAATTAGAAAAGTAACTCAACCAAAACTTAGTTGGTTTGGAAAACTAACACACGAAAAGTCAACAAACTCATAAGTGATCTAAAAGAGATGAATTTGGATATTTAATCCACTTGGCCACTTGCATAATTAAGCAATTAAAGAAAAATACAAGTTAATTACCTAAAATGCTCATCCATGTCTCGTTGGACAACCGTGGAGGTCTGTTCTGTTTGCTCCTTTCCCAAATCCTCTATTCCGTGACTTTTCTTTCTACTTCATAGGATTAAGAGGTCTCTTTTCTTTTCTTTCAAATCCTTTACATTACCGTCGAAAAAATGAATAAATAGTGTTGAGAAGAAAACTTAACTGCTCCTTTAAAAGAAAGTGATTCAGGTCAAGACGAAACCTTAAAGACTCCAGATTAATTCGACGGTATTTGAGGTAGACTTTTTCGATATCCATTTTTGAACTTTTACAAAATTCTTCCTCTATAAACTACCCACAGCTCGAGTTTGATATCTATAAATCACAAATTAAAAAAAAAAAATTCAAAATTTATCCTTGCCAACCAAGAGAAGTTCATAGTTGAGTAGCCAACCTCCAAATTGAAGTTTTGGCAATGATCAAAACATTGTTCCCCATGATGTTTGTGTTTAACATGGTTGTCTCATATTCTAGAAAATGATTGTCTCACATTCTAGAAAATTTAGGTCACATGTTAGACAATACTTGAGACATTGATAGTGCTGTTTTAAGAGACTCTGTAGGCGTAGATAGACAGATCGGAGACCTTTTTTCCAAACGTTATGACCCAAGTACTATTAAAATGGAGTGGGACTACAAAAAAGTGGATTTTGTCAATATAAAGAGTGTTCAATGCTTTTGGCTTAAGCCTATCAGGTGAGTGGTTTTACTACTGGTTTGGTTGGATTAATTATTTGAAGTATCAATGGCACATGTTCTAGGGCCCTTGAACGTATCATGCCTTGTGTTTGTTTAATGTTTTTTTTTTTTTTTTTTTTAATGTTAGGTTGTAAATATAAAATATGTCATCAAGTTGACACATGTTAATGATGATTATGCTATGTTGGACAGAGACAACATGTTATTCGAGGAAATTTAGTAGGTTATGTGATTATATTGACACCTCCAAAAAGAAGGATTGATGTGTGTATTGATGCAATATGGGACGATCATCACCTATGCATCTTAGTTGATGGAGTCCACTCATGACTTAGAAATTAGTTATGGTGAATTACTTTTTAGTTCGAAAAGAGTTGAACATAAGGCAGCAAAGATGACTGAAAATGGTAAAAGATTATGACATAGATATTCAGAACTATTGAGAAAGGCAAATATAGTTGTTGACACCCTAAATAGAAATACGGCCCACTCGTTGACAGGGATCACGAGAGAGCCATGCATGCGGGTAGATTTTGAGCAAGCAAGAATAAGAGTGATAGTAGAAGGATTTGTGGCATAGCTGACTCAACTCACTGTTTAGTCCACGCTCTCACAACTAATGATTGATTCTCAGCAGAGTGAACCCACTCTAGCCATGATTTTAGGTCCGTTAGATTATTATGCCAAGGGCAAGGAGCGGAGGTTTGGATATTTGGATCATTTGATTTCATCAACAATTGAGAAAGAACAAAAACAAAGGTGAGTTTTATAGGTTTTTAAGTCTCAATTATTCTCAAGATCTGCGAGCATTTGATGGAATTAGCCTATGTAATTTTAGTATGTTGTTCTAAGTAAGTTTTTACACATTATTCATGAAGGAATTGGAGTTGAATCACGCCGAAAGAAGGAGTTCTGGGATGCCTCAAAAAATGGTTAGAACATGTAAGCTCCCATGTTTGTGTGCGATTATATTAGTTAGTGTATGTCTAAAAATTATAAATAAAACATCATATCATAGATTAATGAAAACTCTACGACTTTGACGAAGAAATTAAATTGCTTTGAAATAGGTGTAAAAGAAATAAAATTTCAATGAAAATGGATTGAAATGGGTTTGTTCATCGTATTCTAGAATTTTCGTAAATGGAGAATTATCGAAGGGACACACATCAGGGTAAGGAGGGTAAAGTGCGTCTAACATCGTTTTGGGGACATGTCATGCGAATAGATGCGAAATGCATCCCAACACTAGCGACATCCGAGAACTAATTCGTCAGCCCCAATCCAAGAACCACGACTACGTTTGACGACTTGAACTAACCTTGTGTGGCCATGTGTCAGCAAATTGAAGAAATCCTCGCACGTCAAAGGATCAAACTCATGTCGTCGGAGCCAAACACGCTAATTAGAAGGTGGCACGTGTCTAACACTCCAACGTGATTGCCCTTCCCTCAGCCTTGTAGTACGACGTAAATACCTTTCAAGCATGTAACTTGTGTGAGACCCCATTTTAGTCGATTTTACTTATGTTTGGCTGTTTTTCATTCTGTCTCAATACTGATTCTAATTTAACTTGAATCAAGTCCTATCAACAAGTTTTCATGAAATTTGGAGCCTCTAACTAGCATAAAACAAGCTCAGAAAGACACGCTTCATCTCGATAAGTAGCATGTTAGAGCAAATTTTTCTTTAAGTGGTTAGTATAGACACGCAAACTTAAAATTAGGGGTGCTCATATAACTCAAGAATCTGACCAACCAGAGATTATTCAATCCAAACTATAAAGGTCGGGTTAGGTTTAATTTTTTTTTTTAGTTTTGGTTAAAAATCAAAAATTTGGTTGATTTGCAGATTGACATTTCTTTTGTCGAGTCTATGTGACCAACCCGAAAATAGAGTTACAACCTTACCCTACCTTATTTTTAAGATTTAGAATATTTGACCTTTGGTTTAATATTTGAGTTTTATAAGATTTTAGTTATATATGTAACATGTACGGTAGATAAGTAAATTTTTTAAAAATAATTAAAAGTACAACTCCATAACCCAACTCGAGAAATAGTAGGTTAGATTGTGAACCCTATTTTGGTTGCTTGGCTCACCAACCCAACCAACCCAAAATATGAGGTTGTCCAAAAGATTTTTTCAACTCCACCTAACCTCAGTCCTTGTATACCCTAGTAAAAATAATGTTTTGAGCTATGAAAATAGAACGATCCTTGTACACCCTAGTAAAAATAATGTTTGATGTTAAACCGATTTATTAGATTAGTCTTGATCAAGCTAATTCTGGAGTGTGTAAGTGACCATCATAAATTTCAAGTTCAATCTAAGAGTTATTCATCTTTTCTAACTAGCTCTTGATTGAAATCATTTGTTAAATTAGCTTTATTTGTGAGAGTTTGCAAGGATCCTAAAATGATCTCTAGCTTTGTAAATCAAGCTATTGTTGGCCCTTATCACCTTAAGGCTTGGCATGAGCATGTCAAGACCATGACATTGCACGATTGAAGAAATACAACCTTGATAGTTGGTATCATA